CCCCAAAACCCCAAAACCCCAAAACCCCAAGAGAGGTTTCTAAGATTGAATAGATATTTTGTACTAGAAAATTCTTCATTTCAGGGATCTTGTACTGACAGATTAGCTATCATCAGGAAGATAGGTTACAGCTCATTACGCTCAGCTTCAAAGTAATTTTTGACTCATTCTGAAATAAAAGGAGAGAGTCTTCTTTTGATAAGGTATTTTTCTTGTGGGGATTCTGTTTCACAGAAGTTATTTGTATTCCTTCCTAAAGTAATCATTATAGATCAAATAAACAACTTAGGGAGCTTATCAGTCAAATTTCTTAAGACTGAATAGGCTAAATTCACTTGAGCCAAGGAGAATATGAATGTAGCTAAGTACCTGATTATTCCTTCATTCGGGCTTCTCCCTATTTGGTCATATTTCTTAAGATTCTTCGCTATAAATAAGCTGAGAGGCTCTTACAGCTAGTTGAATAGATGGAAGAATCTATCTTTGACATCGAGAAATTATTTGAGAGTTTCTTAGAAGGACTTCTCGGTGAAGGTTTGCTTGACTTTGAGTGATGATTCATCAATAAATTTGGAGCTCTAAACATCAAATTTATCCTCGTACTGGTCCTCTCCACTCAAGATTTTAGCCATGGCTATTTTTTTGGTTGGAGAAGAGTCTATCTTTTTATTTACGGCTCATATTAGCCTCGTTGAAGGTAGAAATTTTATGCAATTTAGAGGTTCCATTTAACATCTTCCGCTTCAAAGGGCTGAACAGTAACGGAGGAGAGTGGTTAATTTCATTCTCAAGCTTATTACTACTCTCTTTAAGCGTGTCTTTCTCAGAGGGAGCAGCTAAAATCATGCATGAAACTTACAATCCTGAACCCTTTTGACCTTGATCGCGAAAATGCCAGTTTTCTTAGTAGAAAACGTGCTTTCAGAGATTTGGGAAGACTTCAGTTTCTTGAAGATCTCTAAGTTAGATATTTTGCGATCCATGTTGTTGTTCTTGGGGTAATTCTTATTGTCAGTTAGGCTATCTCTCGAGGATTCAAATCCTTTGGAAGTATCGCCTGATTCCATCATAACTCCTGAGGTCACAGAAGCCTTAGGGTTCAGCATGGAATTACTATCTTTGATCCCCTTCTTTAGAATAGAACTCTAACGAGGATTAGAAAGAAATTTACTTTGTTAGTTTTGTGGTTTTCAGAAGTCATTTTCATGAAGCTGAGTTGTTTTCGAGGGATTTTCTCAGACTCATAGAATTTTCTAAAGGTTTAAAGAGGGAATACCGATTGTTAGATATTCTCTTCTTTTGAGATTTTGAGTAACGGCTGTACACCTCTTTCTTACTCAATCTGAAATCAGTTCTGGGATCCAGATATGGCTCATGAAGAGGCATCTTTTCTGGGTTAGGCGGCTTGTACTCCTGGGATACCTCCTTCCCGCTGCTCTTCGTAGAGACGATAAACGATCTAGAAGTAGTCCATAACTTCTTGTTCATCATCCTGAACTGGTGATGAGCTGCAGATTTTCTTAAAGCTTCGAGATTTATAGGAGTTATGTCTCTTTTACTAAGGTCTATTTGACTATCACTTTTGCCAAGGACGTAATTCAGAGGTGGCTGTATGATCTAAAATCGATTGGTAAAGCACACATTACCTTATTTAGACTGACTTTCTCTAAATTTCTGAGTAAATGGCTCATATTTCGATCAGGATTGCATTGACTTTACGAAATCAGGGTGCAGACTTCTGTCTGATGCTGACTTTATAAAAGTAGAGCCTATGGATAACATCTAAAATTACCTGCAAACTCTCTGTTATTCTCATGTTTTGTGTGACTGAAGATCTCACTAGAGTTCAGGAACTCACTGGAGAGCTCCATTCCTTTAGGCCGGTGGCAGCTAAGGCACTTTTTGTGCAGGATTTTATTTAGTCTTTTTCTCGAAGTAACGATTAATCTGCTGTTGATTCTTCTTTGTGGGGTCAGGTCTATATTCCCAGTTATAAAATGTTCTGACTCATAATGGCATTATGAGCCTCTGGGGTCAACCAGTCTTCGCCATAATTATGAGGAAAATTACTCAATCTGTTTGGCCTGGATCCGCTTTTTGTAAATCTGGTATCGCATCATATTTGTTAGGGAATATTTATATTTTATTTCGGCAATATTTATTAAGCATATTGGGGTTTTGGGGTTTTGGGGTTTTGGGGG